CCATGGCCTTTTTTTACATTACACCTATGTGTCCATGTGCGTATTTGTATGGTCACATGCTGTGGTACACATATGGAACTCAGGACAGCTTACAAGTCTGCTCTCTTCTTCCATCCTGTGGGTTCTGAGATCAAACTCAGGCAGCGGCGGCCAGTGCTTGTTCCCTGCTGAGCCACCTCGCCAGCACCCCACCCCCACCTTCCATCTGGAAACTGACCGTGGTTTTTGCACTCAGGGCTGCATGCTTCAAGGATAGGCTATTTTCCCCATCAGAAGGACTGGGAAATACAGGCACTGTAGAGACTTCCGAAGAACCCAGCCAGTGTTCTCTAGTGACACTGCCTTGCCACTTGTCACCGAAAGGGATCCTGGCTGATTTTGAGGTGTGGGTTCTCCAAAACATTTCGATGGTGTTTGAATTGGTCACCCTCAGAGATTGCCTTCCACTGAGATTCTGATTACAGTGGGTCTGACCGTGTGTGCTGTCCTTTCCAGTGCTGAGTGAGTCAGACCGGGCCACGCTGCCGGTGATAGCCACCGTTTTTGATAAACTCAACCACGAGTACAAGAAGTACTTGGATGCTGAGCAGAGCTACACAGTGGTAAGTCAGGCTGGCAGAGGCCCACTCTAATAGGTGGTACGGCATAACGTCAGGTTTGGTGCATGGAAGACGGCAGTGTCAGTGGTATACCCAGAGGGCCCACGTGCTGCTGGCCTCGGGCTTCACCTCAACACCCTCACTGTTTTGCTTTTTAAAATCTGAGCTTCCATGTGGGTACATTTTTGTCCTGCCTCTATTCTGTAGAAAGAAAATCAGCCTCGGCTCTTACAGAGCCTGTCCTAATTAGATGTGTGGGTTCCATTCTTAATATTTACAGACGTAAGTTATCTGGAGGGAAGTTTGGGTGAAGTGTATTCAACATGCAACATGTATTTGTTTGAAGACTTAAACAGTTTTTATAAAAGGGTGTCTTTAGTTCAGATAAGACACACACACACACATACACACACACACTTTTTTGTTGTTTTTTTGAGACTGGGTTTGTTTATGCTGGTTGTCCAGGCTGGTCTCGAATTAGAGATCACTTATGTCTGCCTCCTCCTCCCTAATGCTGGGATTAAAGGCATTTGCCACCACTTCCAACCTTCTGGTTTCTTTGTTTATTTTATTTATTTATTTTTAAAGACAGGGTTTCACTGTGTACCTCTGGCTGGCCTGGAACTCAGCTATGTAGACGAGGTTGGCCTTAAACTTGGGAACTCCACCTGCCTCCCGGGTGCCAGTATTAAAGGCGTGCTCCACCACCCCTTGCTAAAATAATGTTATTGAGGAGAATTCCTTTGACTGTTTCATGTATGTACGAAGCACGTTATGCACTCTGCTCTCACCCCACCCTGTCTTCTTCAGCCCATCACCTCCTCCTCCCTACCCCTCTCTTTCCTACCTTGACAGCTTTGTTTTGTGACCACTGATTTCAGCAAGGACTGTGTGTGAGCACAGGTTTGAAAGGTCCATTGGCGCCTGGTGGGATCATTGTTGGATCCACAACTAAAGCCCATGACTGTCCCTTCCCAGATTCCCTCCGAAGCTCAGCAGGGAGTTTCAGGTCCCATGAGCCCCTCCCAATCCGTGATTGATGCCCACAGGTCCAGTGCGTCAGCTGTTGTGAGATCATGGTTGCCATGGCAGTGCTGAGCTCTGCAGATAATATGTTGCAGCCCTTTCCTGTCTTCTGGCTTTCACATTCTTTCTTCTACCTCCTCCACGACATTGTCTGAGTCTCAGAAAGGGCTGAGGATTCACCCGTCAGCTATCCTCAGCATCCAGAGCAGCGCTACATGTCTGTACTCCCCAGCATTCACTGGCAGGGCCAGAGGAAGTGCATCTGAAGATTAGAAACAATGGCCAGGATGCTGCCACCGTCAGTGTCCTCTGGCCGCGGTTAAGTTGCCAGCACTGCATTTCAGTTTACAGAGGTCACATGTTCAGGGAAAGGGTGAGGAAATTACTGTGGCTTATCATTAGGTACAACAGTTAGTACTTCCGGTTTTCTAAAGCAAGAAAAAAGTTTGAGACAAGTGGGAGAAATTATTTCACTTCAAGGACGTGATTAGCAACAATGGACATTTTTTTAAACAAGCTGAGAACCCCACTTTGGCTGTTTGAGGACAGCCGGGCTGATGGGCTGAAGGCCAGGCCACCTCATTTGTCCTCATTTGGCTGTTATGCGTCAGCCACCTGGTGGTGCCTCCCTCCTCCTCTTGGCCCCTCTGATGGTGTCCTGGACTGCGGGAGTCTGGGTCTGAGCCTGGGGCAGGCCCTGAGTGTTACCACGCTGTGGTCATTAGCTGTCACGAAGAAACAGTCGCTCTCAAGCTCGGCCCGCTCACGGCTGCTCGCTCACCTTTGGGGAGTTCCGGCGTACTGATGAATGATCCCCATTACACTGGGCTGTGCCAGCGACTTGGTGGTAGAAATGCAGAGCTGGGTGAGGCCCTATCCATTTCAAAGACTACCACAGTGAATTAAAAGGTCCTAGCATAGGCCCGGCGCAAGAGCCATTCCTGTATTGTCTGGTGGAGCTTCATAAATGAGGGCGCGTAAGAGCTGGAGGGGACGGGAACTCGACAAGCAGAGCAACAGAACAAGATAATTTGAACACAGGGAACTTCCCAGAGACTCATACTCCAACCAAGGACTATTCGTGGAGATAACCCAGAACCCCTGCACAGATGTAGCCCATGGCAGTTCAGTGTCCAAGTGGGTTACATAGTAATGGGAAGAGGGACTGCCTCTGACATAATCTGATTGGCCTGTTCTTTGATCACCTCCTGAGGGGGGAGCAGCCTTACCAGGCCACAGTAGAGGACAATGCAGCCACTTTTGATGAGAACTGATAGACTAAGATCAGAAAGGAGAGGAGAACCTCCCCTATCAGTGGACTTGGGGAGTGACATGCATGCAGAAAGGGGAGGGAGGGTGGGATCGGGAGGGGAGGAGGGAGGGGCTTATGGGGGGATACAAAATGAATAAAGTGTAATTAATAAAATAAAATAAAAAAAAATAAGGGCGCGGCTGGGCAAGAGTTAGTCCTCAGAGGTTAGAACAAGCTTGACTGTGACATGCTTAGTTAATCACAGTCTCCCATGAACCCTGTAGTGTTGGCCAGGGGCCAGCTCTGCTGGAAGAGTTTTGTCTTGCTCCTGTTGGGTTTGCACCTGGGAGTTCACGTCCCAGGCTGACTGTGGTGGGCACCACTCTGGAAGATGGCTAAGGTAACAATTTGCCCCTCTGCAGGCAGTAGAAGCAGGGCAGAGCCGGAGCAACCCCCCTCTCAAGAGGCCAGTGCGCACACAGGCCGTGGTGGACCAGTCCGACGTGTACACGCACGTGCTGTCGCCATTCGTGGAAAACAAGGTATGTTATGGTTTCTGGCTTCCTGAGGGGGTTACTGTGGGGCTGCAACAGGACCCACAGTGGTTACACTAGTGGTGTGTGTGGCCTCGGGAGAGGGCCTGGGCTGTCAGCTTGGCCTCCAGTAGACGTAAGGCGTGGCCACCAGGGTGTATGGCGCAGGACATCTGCCTAACAGCAGCAGAGCAGAACACTGGCCGTTCCTGGGATCAGCGGGCGGCCTGCAGCTCCTTTTGCAACTGACATCACAAGACCCCCTTCCTCCCTAGGAGATGCCGCACAAGTTTGTGATAGCCGTGCTGATGGAATATATCCGTTCCCTGAACCAGTTTCAGATTCCAGTGCAGGTATCTTCAGGGGGGTGTCGGCCATCCTAAGTTAGGGGACTGGGGTCAGAAGAGACGGCCACTTCCTAGGACGTTGGAATCTGCAGACCCAGTGCCTGACTGGGTGACTTTGACATGCCGGTTGTTCTTGGTGCGGATGGGAAGTTTGGTTGAGAATGCGCTAACTACACGGTGGGCATCCTCAGCCGGCCTTGGTTCACTGACTTAGTGCTGCTTGCCTTCCTCCTATGTTCCCAGCACTACCTACACGAGCTGGTCATCAAGACGCTTGTCCAGCACAACCTCTTTTACATGCTGCACCAGTTTCTGCAGTACCACGTGCTCAGCGACTCCAAGCCTCTGGTCTGTGTCCCTGCATTTCTACTTTGTGCTCACTAAAGCCTCCCAGTGGTAACCTCCCAGCTGAAGCTAGGTGAAACCCTGTCTTTCAGGCTTGCCTGCTGCTGTCCCTAGAGAGCTTCTATCCTCCCGCCCACCAGCTATCTCTGGACATGCTGAAGGTAATACCTCGCCACAGCTCCAGGTATCACCAGCATCCCTGCCTGCGGTTGCGCTGACCTCCATCCTTCTCGATTCCAGAGACTTTCAACTGCAAACGATGAGATAGTAGAAGTTCTTCTGTCCAAACACCAGGTGTTGGCCGCCCTCAGGTTCATCCGGGGCATTGGCGGCCATGACAACATCTCTGCACGAAAATTCTTAGATGCGGCAAAGCAGACCGATGATGTCATGCTCTTCTACACCATCTTCCGCTTCTTTGAACAGCGAAACCAGCGTTTGCGAGGGAACCCCAACTTCACACCCGGTAAGGGAAGGCCCGCATACTTCAGGGTGGGAACAGCCCATCGTCCCCTCAGTCTGGGGTCTGTTGACCAAGTACATTCGAGTACTGATGATCTGAACTACACTCTGAGTCTCAGTAGAGGAGTGTTCAGGGCTGAAGTATTCAGGATGGAATTCAGACATCTAGGACATACTTCATACCAGTCTTGGGATCTCTCAAGAATCAGGGACAGGAGGGCTCATGGTGGACAAATGTTAAATGGCTTGGGGCTTGAATGCTTCAGTGTGGAGCAAGAAGCAAGCAGTGACAAAATAGGACTCGAGGGAGAGCAAGCTGAGTTCTGATGTACACATGGTACAGGATGGTGTAAGTGGCAGGTCAGAGATGGTTACTGGGACATCAGCTGTGGCTGCTAAAGGTATGGGCGCTGCAATAAAGAGTGACCTCAGAACGCAGGAGGATGAGGTATTTTATTAAAGAAAAATAAGTTAACCCGAGAGCTTTGCCTGCATTTCTGCTTTCCCACACCGTGACGAACTGGTGACTAAAGCTGCGTTTCCCTACAGGAGAACACTGTGAAGAACATGTTGCCTTCTTCAAGCAGGTTTTTGGAGAACAAGCTCTAATGAGGCCTACGACATTCTGAACTCCCTTGATAGTTTTTTTTTTTAATATAAAAATGTACAAAGTTAATTTATTGCATTAATAAAGCTCTTTAAACTACAAAACAGTGTGATAAAGGACCTACAACATCCTCAAGTGTTGCTAGAAATAAGCTATAGAACGTGGGGGGCCACCTCCCGAAAAAAGGAGGCAGCACTGGCTTTTCGAAAGTGAGGAAGTCGCACTCGCAGCCACCCACCCTTGCTCTTGCCCAAGATGAGGTTTCTCTGCTGTAGGGGCTGGTGACCGCTGCCTCCGCGCCCTAACACTGCTTCGCCAGTCAAGTGTGCGGCCCCGAGAGTGGAAGCCTGGTGGACCTGCACCTGCAGAGCTCTGGCACAGCCTGACGCCGGAAAGCCAGCGTGCAGCTTGGCCTTGACGTGAACTTGACCTATTTGTAGTTACAGAGTCACCCACCAAGGCCTGCCACAGGCTAAAAATTGAGGAGCCGCTCTCGCTCTGTCCCTCGGTATCTCTCCTGGGTGGTCTGTCTTTTAGCTGTGTTTACCGACGGTCCTGTGGGAGCAAAGAAAAGATGTCTAAACAACCTAGGTATGGAAAAATGCCCTTGGTTTTGTGGGTTTTCGTATTTTATTTTGTGTGTGGGTGTTTTGCCTGCATGTGTGCCTATGCACATCTGTGCAGTGCCGCAGAGGCCAGAAGTGGGTGTCAAAGTCCCTCAGACTGGAGTTACAGTTGTGAGCCGCTGTGGGGGTGCTGGGACTGAGCATGGGTCCTTAGCCACTGAGCCATCTCTCTAGCCTCCAGTTTCTGTATGTTAATGCAAGGGCAAATGAGTCCTGTCCTCTTTAAAGACAGACACCATGTGAGGTGGAGTCACCACAGACCTACAAACAAGGGTGCTGCAGAGCCACAACAGCATGGGGCTGGTTCCTTGTTCATCCCCCTGCAGCAGCAGTGATCCCAGGCCTGCCGGCATTGCAGCCCCAACCTGAGGCTTTGTTGGGCATCCAGAACAGGGCAGTGGCTGCCTGAGGACATGGCCTGGCTGGGCACGAAGTGCTGGGGAGGGTCACCTTTTCCTTCTGTAATTCTGAATGCAGTGTCAATTATCTGCTGGCCATCAGTACAAACTCAGATAACGCAAAGAAATATTCAAGGGTAAAGTTTCTCTTTTTGTGAGAGCCACGGCCTTTCAGCCTCGGCTGGCCTCACTCACTGCAGAGCCCTAAAACTTCCAAGTGCAGGGTTACAGGCTTGTGACACCATGCCCAGCTAATCAAGTGTTCTGTTAGCATCTCTCTTCCTCCCATGCCTGCACAGTGAGTACTCTTACCTATGTAACTGAGTAATACGGGAAGAAACACGAGTCCGTGAGCGGCTCCGAGTAAGACCATGGCTAAATACATCCTGAAGTAAAAGATCTCAAAAATTTGAGATTTGGCGAAGGCCAACACCACAATCCCTCCAAATTTTGTAAGCGTGATCCCACTGAATACCTGAAGAGGTAGAAGTGACTTGTTAGGCTGTTACAAAGAAGTATCCCCTGTCACACACGCCTGCCATAGCAGTGTCCAAAGGGCTGTCTGGTAGCTGCAGCACTGAGACGCTGAGCTTTCTGCCTGAATTTGTTCAGCTTACTGCTTTATGAGCCTGGATGAAAAGCGGCTCCTCAGTTTTGTGTGTGTGTATCCAAGGGTGTTTTAGTGTAGATGTGTGGAGGACAGCGGTTGACCTGTCTTCCTCAGTGGCTCTCCACCTTCTCATATGGTCTCCCTGGAGTAGGAGACAGCTAGACTGGCTGGCAGCGATCTCCAGGGATCCACCCAGCTCTGCCCATCAGAGCTGGTGCCACAGACGTGGACTGCTGTGCCCACCTCTTTGTGCGTGCCGGGGACTCAAGCTCAGGTCCCCATGCTTACGGGGCAAACATCTCACTGGCTGAGCCATCTCCCAGCGTGGGGGTAAAAAACTTAGAGAAGAGGAGAAGGTAGTTGAAGGGTAAGAGCAATGTATTTTCCTAGAAACCTGTCTTCTGCTCCTGAACTGTATAGGTCTTGACTTCTTGGTTAAAGTCAAGCAGTAGCTGAACCAAGATGGAGTCTCAGGTGGAAACTTTCAAAAATATAAAATGATTATTGTGTGTGTGTGTGCGCATGCAACATGCAAGGTCAGAGACCCTGTGGAGTAATTTCTCACCTTCATCTTGGGTGACTTTGGGGGCTCAAAACCAGGCTTGCAGAGCAAGCGTTACCTTTGACCCACTGGGCTATCTTGCTGACCTGGAAACCATTTTAGTTTTTTGAGGTTGTTAAATAGCAAATGCTTAAGTTTTCGCTCTACTGGTATTTTCTATAGTGGCAAAGTGATCGAACGGGAATGGCAGGATAAAGGGCTGGACCAAGGCCCTCCAGGCATTAACTACAGACAGCCCGGGGGGCTCTGGAACTCAGGGGACCCCTTGCTGTCACCAGAGTGCTGGCTTCCAGCTCTCTCAAGTCTAACTTTTCTACATTTCCAGCTTAAGCCATCTGATTGCCTGAAAGAGACCACACGAGGACAATTCTGAGCGATTTCAAGTCTGTTCAAGTTGCACCTATTTGGTGAATTCTGTGAGAATTTGTCGTTGCTGGGAGCTGCCATTTAACTGATGGCTCCAAATTGTTTTACCCACTCAACCTGTGTTTCCTCTGAGAAGCGGTCAGGCAGTGAGGAAGCACCCCTCCTGCCAGCCCTGCCCATCAGGGCAGAGGATACTCACAGAGCTGCCCATGTGGGCCAGCGCCTCTTCCGCCCGGCTCACTCGGCTTCCTTTGGTGCTCACTGTGAACGCTCTTGTTATGTGGCTGCAGAACTCCACAGAAATGCCGCAGCTCTGGAACAAAGCGTCCCGTGAGAACAGGTCCTTTTCAGCTGAACACCTCCTAAGCTGCAGCAGACATCTTCAAGTCCTTTGGGCAGTACCGGTGCCACAGCGCTGTGGCTTTGATTAGGGGAATGTCTGGAAACTTCTCAGGTTACCTACCCTTCCCCACTGAGCCAGCACCCTGCCAGGCCTCCCCTCATGATCACTCTGAAGGTGCTCCTATCTGCATGTCAAGCTCACATCTGTCTCTCTTTCCCTCTCTCCCCCTCTTTGGTTTTTTGGGGACAGGGTTTCTCTGGGTGGCCTTGGCTGTCCTGGAACTTCCACTGTAGATCTGGCTGGCCTTGAATGCAGAGGTCCGCCTGCCTCTGCCTCCTGAGCTCTGGGATCAAAGGTGTGCGCCACCATGCCAGCTATATCTTCAGTACTTTCTCAGTACCTGCTGTCTGTAAGGAAAGCCTACTGAGGAACCTCGGAAATAAAACTGGGGTGTCTTAATGTCGGTTGGCTACATGTTTTTTGTTTGTTTTCAGACAGAATCTCATTTAGTTCTAGCTGACCTCAAATTTGCTACGTAGCTAAGGGGAAGTAAGAGGAAGTTCTGATCCTCTTACTTGCCCCCACCCCCACCCCCCGTTCGTGCAGGCCCAGAGTATATGGAAGGCTGGGGACTGAACTCAGGGTTCATGCATCCTCTGCAGGCATGCTACTACGTGAGCTACCCTAGCCTTTGTTTTTGAGACAGGATCTCAATTTGTAGTCCAGGCTGGTCTGGACCTAACTATGTGGTTGAGGCTGGCTTCTGGCTTCTAGCTTGCAGGGGTCTGCCTAGCTCAGACTCTTTTATTTATTATTTATACAGTGTTCTATCTGCATGTGTGCCCGCAGGCCAGAAGAGGGCACCAGATCTCATGGATGGTTATGAGCCACCATGTGGTTCCTGGGAATTGAACGCAGGACCTTTGGAGGAACAGCTAGTGTTTTCAAACCCGAGCCATCTCTCCGGCCCCCCTAACTCTTGACTGCTGGGATTATAAGCATGTGGCGTCACACCAGGTCACGTGGCTTTGTAGTATTTTCTGAACAATGGACACAGCACACTGGAGGTGGATCGTGGGACATTTCAGTATCACAGCACCATAAACTACACTGCTCACGACAGCTGCAAATGTGCAAGCCTCCTGCCTTGGCCACCTGAGCGCTGGGATTGCGGGGACCTGCCACACACCCAGCCTCAGAAACTGTTAGTGTGCTTCCAGCTGTTCTCAGTGCTCCCTCTGGGCCTCACCTGACGCTAGCGCACATCTTGTTTCTTCCTGTGCACTAAGAGCAAAAGGCAGCTCAGTGTTTCAGGCCACTTGAGAGTGTACATGAAAGCCATGGAGCAATTTATGCATGAGTCACAGGCGCCAGGGACAAATGAGAGAAGACCAGGACTCACCATCACCAGGTTGACCAAGGAGACAGCATTCAGGCTGATCCCCCAAAGCCACATAACGCCAAACATGTTAACCAGGATCATGGCTATGGTGACACACATGATGATTGCAGACCACAGCTCACAGCCCAGAACCACCAAGGTCACCAGAAATATAGAGCCCAGAGACACGCTGAGGTTAAAGATGGTGTCATCAATGATGGTCAGGTACTGTTCATAGAAGACGTAGAACACGCTGGGGACGACAGTGTCCGTTAGAGCCTGTACCCTGGCGTCTCCCCTCTTCGCCCCACCACCCCGCAGAGTGGGAGAGTGCTGAGAGGTGACAGACACCCCAGAAAACCACCTGAGACTGGCCCAGCAGTGACCCCAAACGTGTGTTTACAAAGAATTTTTACTTGTAAGCCCAATTCCAAAAAAATCCCATAGGGTGTTAGGAAAAGAAAAGAACCAGCCAGGTCTGCTCTGGGAGCCGCCCTGGTTCTTTCCCACACCGTTAACCCAGCTCTGCCCAAGAATTAGGCCACCTCCTCCGAAAGTCCGCACAAAAAGCGGCTGCCATTCTTAACCGAGTTCACACACGGTTTGAGAAAAGCTAGCGTTTGCTTGGCCTTCCTTATTTTACAAGGAAAAAGCAGCAGCGGCAACAACGAAAGACTCCAGCCCCAGCGAATGAAGAGTCTGAGTGAGAGCTGTCCCAAGCAATGAGGAGGCAGGGGTCCCTGCCAGGCCGGCGGCAGGGCTGCGCGCCCCGTGTGCAAGGCCTGCCCTCCTGTTAGTCCACCGTGTGTGTCTTCGGTCTGGGACAGCACACCAAGTTCTGCGTCTAGTCCTCGGAGCAGAGCAGAGGCTCGCCATTCTGGCTCCGCGCACCTCCAGTGCCCCTCACTCCCCACCCGGGGCCTTCAGCCCCACCCCCACCCCACAGAGGCCCCCGGCTTTACCTGTACGGGAACACGCGGTAGCTACTTCCCTTGGAACGCATGGTTTCTGTGATGTTACTGGCGATAAGCCGGGCCTTTTTCATGGCATCAATGAAGTCAGCAGAGGTCTTAAGTATGGTGTGGTAGGTCATGAAGTAAGTGGCTCCGACGTAAGCGTCATCTCCTACGATGTTAACGGCCGACCCATAAGCAGCGTGTCCCCTGAGGAAGAGGCGGTGGGTGTCAGGAAGGCTGTGGCTGACAGGTGATGGCTGCTCACCTCACCCAGCTCAGAGGTCACGTGGATGAAGGAGGCCTCCTGCAAAGGGCCTATGGAAGGCTTTGCCTTCTCTTACCACTGCCGTTTGTCTGCTGCACGGCTGCTATTTTCTCTATCTGGTTCCATTCCAAACCAAACACAATGCAGAGATGACTGGCTACTGCTGTATAACAGGAGGGGAGAAAGGGCAAGGACCTGGACCCAAGCCCAGGCCTCCCCGGGGGCTCCTCACCTTAGCCTAGCAAGGCCTCTGTGATTGGGCATACCGCAGTTACAGCCTGGAAGTGCCGGTGAGTTACGGCCAGGAGGGGTTTGGCACGCCACTGCCCAGTGGATATGCCCTTTGCTACTGCACCCTAACAACTGAATTCAAAGCGCTCCCATGCTTTATGAAAAAAATGCCAGAACAACCTCCACATTCACAAGCAAAGCGGGTTCCAGGAGCTGTTCAAGTTTTTCAAGGTGGTCTTCAGAACCAGAAATCTCAAAACAGACATGACACACACGAGTAACAAGACTAGGCACATGTGGACTTTGCTGTTTTGAAGCACGGTTCCTCCGTGTAGACCTGGCTGTCTTGTAACTTGTTCTGTAGACCAGGCAGGCCTCAAACTCACAGAGATCCGCCTGCCTCCACCTCCTGAGTGCTGGGATCGAAGGTGCGCGCCACCACCGCCTGGCTCAAATGTCGATTCTTACAAAAACCAAGTACACCCATGCGGGTTACATCGCACACATGTGGAATTCACCTTTCCCCACCAAAGTCTCCAAATCGATTCTCTTACCTTTACCATTTCTGGGCCAGACATCCTGCTCCTGTCTGTGTGAGCAGTGGACAGTCTGGACGGCTGGGCTTTTGGACAGCTCACACTTACCCACACTCGGGGCGGCAGGGATTAGAACCTACACCTCAAACGTGCTAACATCACCAAAGCAAAGATGCTGCTCCGTAAGCCCACTGGCCCAACGGGACTGCCCTAGCCTCCCACCATCTAGGGTGCTGAGCTTTCCTTCTGCTCCTTCATGAGCTGCAGAGGAATCTGCCTCCATCCGCATGGCCAATGTAGAGGACAGGAACCACAGCATGGAAATGAGTGCCCAGTAAGGCTCAATCTGCTGAAAACTGAGGAGTTTCCTTTAAATGGTGTCTCTGCTTTTATAGGACTAAGACAGGGGAGAGAAGAGGCCCTTCCCACAAGCCTGATCGACTCCAGACTTTGCTTCTCATTTCAAGTTAAAGCTACAGTGACAGTTTACCTGACAGCTCCAAGACACTTACCCTTTGCCACACTTGGGGTTGGGGTTATCGGAAAGGAACATGGGCAGGAATTTCATGAATTCTTTCCCCTGAGGCCTCTGTTTGCCCTCTGAAGTCAGGGGTCTACAGCGGACACAGGTTGGGTCAATCACTGGCAAAAGCAAAGAGGCAGTCATTAGAAAGCTGGGCCTCAAGGCTCCAATAAGAGCAGTAGCAACAAACGCTTTAGGAACAGGGTTTGCTTCTATCTTTCCCTCCTCCAGGGCTCCAGCTCTGTGTGATTTCCCTTAGTGTCACACCCAGGTCATTTCTTCCTAGGCAGGCTGCCCAGCAAAGCCGTCTTCAGAGCCCAGGACTCTGCATTCATGAACACCCTTGGCACTTACAGAACGTTCGGGCAGAGCATGAACGGACACTGGCTGGCACTCTTAAGAAAAGCATACATGTGGTCTGGGCAAGATGGGCTATCTGACCCTGCTTGATTCCCGGCCCTGAGATGGGGATGTTCTGACCCTGCTTGATTCCCAGCCCTGAGATGGGGATGTTCTGACCCTGCTTGATTCCCGGCCCTGAGATGGGGATGTGAGCGCACGAGTGAGGAAACAATGCCAAGGAAGGGATGCAGCCCCAGCACTGACAGACGCTACACACGAGGGTAAAATGAAGCGGCTAAGCGGTGCTGCCCTTTCTCTAAAACAACGACGAAAGGAAAGCTCGAGAAAAGGAGACGCAAGTACCAGAGGCGTTGCAGAACTGGTGAGTGACATTGTGGAGTCTACAGCAGGAGGACTGCGGCGACACCCAGTCAAAGTAGTCGTCGATCCAGGACGAGGGCGCGAAGCCTATGCGGGTGCTGGGGAGAGGAGAGACGGTGAGCAGCCTGCTGGGGAACGCCTCTCCTCCTGACAGGGCCGCACAGCGACTGAACACAAACCTGCAAGATTCGTGTGGCCAGTGGACCCACTCTGCTCATGTGACACTTGGTCTAACAGGCTTTTTGAAATGACAAGAATAGCAACCGTTCCAAGAGAAAATCTGTTCTTAGTGAGAAAACTCAGGCCAGAGAGAGCCTCCCTCTGCCTGTTTCTGCTTACGGTTGAAAAAGACTAAAGCCAGACATGGTGAGGGGGACTGCTCTGTCATCCTAAAACCCAAGAGCTGAGACAGGACGAGCACTCCAAGGTCAAGACTGCCTTGGGCTATAGGGGGGGACTGTATCTCAAAATACACCTATTCACTAAAGAGGAAAAGGAAGCACAAAGGACCAGAGCGGCGTGATACTGACTAGGCGTCCAGCTCGGCCGCGTTGAAGATCTGCTGCACCAGGGAGTCGTTGTCACAGCCCATGCCGCCGCACACCATGCTCTGCCCTTTGCGGGTGGTGTAGTTGTGGCCCTCCTCCAGGACAAAGTAGACGGGTGGCCCCGAGTGCAGGTACTGGCCGAGCGATTTGAAATAATCGATCACATAGGAATCCTGAAAGACAGACCAGAGAAGGGAGAAGCGGGGCTTGATGGGCCGTAAAGGAGATGGTGGCTGCCGAGGACGGAGGGCGGCAAGCCTAGCCACACAGCTCTCTCCCCCAACGGCCCGGCATGCGCCTGTTGCTAAGCCCCAGCCAGAAGGGGTCTCACAGGTGAGCTCGAGAGACTGGCTGCTCCACCTTAAGAGCACTGTGAGTTCACAGGCGGTGGCCAACCCCAGCAGAGCCCTGTGGCCGTTCACTGCTGCCTCTTGCATGGGTACTCAGCAAGCATTAATGCCTACGTGCATGCTCTGACACCCTATTCATCGGCAGCTAAAAGGGTTAAAAAAACAAAGCACCTTACATTTGGCATTGAAAGAGACTGATCCAATCCGATCTCTACTTTGTTCACCACTGCAACACTGAATGACAGAACGCCCACGAACACGGCTATCTGGAAAGAAAAGCAAACGGCAAGACACCAATTGCTAATGGAACAAACCGAAGAACAGACAGAAATCTTCCAAAAGGCACGATTTTATCTTCTTTTGAAATGCTGGCACTATTAGAGGTTGAACAACCTTGCTTTGTGTAAGGCTAGGCAAGCATCCTCCCACTGACCTGCATTCCCAATGCAATGCAAACACAGACAATCCATGGATAATCGAGATTTTAGCGGAGCACCCAACTCCATAATGACCGTGGGGCTCTCCTGCCGCCTCTCGCCGTGAGTAGACTAACACCTGCTCTTTCAGTGTTGAGGTGAGCGACCGCTATGGCTGCTCGGGACATAACCTGTGATGACTCCTGTGTTGCCAGGAGCTGGGGGAGGGTGGTGGGCGGCAGCTAGGCCTCTTTTCTGTCCAGGGATCTGTGTGCAGTAAAAGCACCGAAGCCCCTGTGGCACCGGCATCAAATCCCTCCTTCTGAGGTGGCAGGCACTTTCAGAGGGCCTGAGTGTTTAACATGGGGAAATCGTGTGTACATACACACACACTGCCTGTGCTACTGAACTCTAATTCTGTGTATCTATTTACTATAATTATGTGTGTTTGACACAGTATACCACTAGAAGATACCAGGTGCGAGGAACTGGGGTTCCACTGCTACCTTTGCAACATTCTGCAAAATCACAATTATTTCAAAACAAAAGCCTAGGGTTTGGGCACAAAAACAAAACCAAACCAAAAATACCCAAACTCCAATCCAATGTTGACAAAACCTTGCCGATGTTGACTGAGAACTGCACTAGTAAAGGAGCCTGCTGCTGTGTGCGTTCTTCTGTGAACCTCGGCACGGTATAACTGGTTGGCACTGCCCTCCCCAGGCCTCTCAGAAGGCAAGTGACACATCTGTGTAGGGAGAGAAGACAGGGAGGCCAAGGAAAAGCCCTACCACAATTGGCCGCAGCCAGTCCTTCAGCAGAAAGGGCGCAAAGGAGTTTTTGAAGAAGAGGAACAGGCAGCTTTTGGAGGCCTGGCTGCCGCCTCCGTCGTCGATGCCTCTGACGCAGCACAGCACGTCCAGCCGGTTTTTCTGAGGGTGCAGAGAGGAAGAGGTGATGGGTACACCCCCTGACTTCACCTAGACTCTAGGCTCAGTGGATCCTGGTCCTTACCTCTTGCCTCTTAATGTCTAACCCCAGGAGGCTCACGAAGCAGGTGATCTGGAGGAGGAAGTCAATGAGCACCGCCATCCCCGCAAACAGAGAGAAGGTGTGCACGGCCGGCATGGAGGACAGCGCCCCTACAGGGAGAGAGGAGGACTGCCACACCCCATACAGGTCTCGTGGCTACGCTGCTGCCAACACATGCCACTTCCTCTTGGCCTGCATTAGCCTGGTGCACTTTAGGAACAAGACTATTCTTAGTAAGTTGTCAGTATTTAATAGTGGTATAAGGGTTAAGCAAAATTCTAGATTCGTCAAATCCTCTGAGGGGAGGGGACCGCTGTGTGATGGTGGGCCACATCATCTTAGACACAAACGGGGACATGGTGCGTGCAGGCCCCAGGATGCCAAGCATCCTGTCCCCAGGTTTGATAGTCATCTTGCCCGAGCCACAGCGTTAGCTGCTGCTATCAACACCCTTGTACGGATTTCTTAGAAAAGTAAAAAGGTGTATCCTGGCCTGTACCTACAAAAGGCACAATAAAGACCAGGTGTCAAAAGCATGTCACTTTAGAAATGAAGCGTGGCATGGTGCCAGCACAGCTCCACTGAGAGCTCCATCCTGTAACGGCTCACGTAAGACCTGGTGACTTTGGCCAAGCCTGTAACGCCTCACTTAAGAGCTGACAGTCCTGAGTAAGAGCCTGTGGCCTCCTACAATGTGAAGACTCTCTCCTCTGCAGGTTCCCAGCCTCAGTCAACTTCTACAAGGACCAAGTCACTATTCTCTTTTTACAGTTTGGAGATGGACGGGGCAAGCAGCATCACAACTCAGTGATGGCTCCTCACAAAAGAATCCCTGAGGACTTTTCCTCTGGCTCATTCCGGCTCCTTGTACAGAGGCACTCACTACAAGAAGCTCTGCTCACGAATGAGCCTGTTTCCCCCGGGAGTTTGTGGCGAGGGGGTGGAAGCCTGTCTGAAAACAAAGGCAGAGCACCCGGCAAGCCAACTGTCATGGCACTGCTGAGGCGAGTGCCACAGACTCTGTGGCTGTGTAGGGATGCCATTTTCAAACAATACTTGCTACAGGGTAAGAAGGGGAGGTGGCAGAAGAGCTTGCATCTCCATCATCCCCCAGCATCGATACTGTCCTGGCAAGCTCGCTGTGAGACACTGCCAGTCAGCTGAGACACGCAGCCCACAAATCGACACGCCAACCGTGAAACACAACTCACAAAAGGGAGCAACACGGGGTTACATAAGAAGATTCCCAGCAAGCCACAGGCCTGGCACAGTCTACAGCAAAATTACCGAGGAAAAAAGCTGAGGTCTCAGAAAAGGATGAAAGGAACATAGTAGGGGCCACGTCCCCAAGGATCCTGCCCAGCTGCTGGTCCAGCGTCTCCTCCTGAAGACGCTCGTCTCTCTTAAAGAAAAAAAATAAATAAATGAGCACACACATTACAATTTCTCTGTAACAGAGCCGTCTTTTCTCTCTTGGTTATCTAGGGGTTAAAGGGAGCCAAAATTGGACGAGCGGCTGCAGCATCGAAGGCTGGGACCCGCTGAGCCGGTTACTCACTGCCGAGGAGTCCAGTCAGATCACTGACGTGGGCACCAGATAGAAACTCAGCGTTTCTGAGTCACGTTATCAGCCTGGTACGTGGGCTGCAGGAGGCTGGATCACTAAAGGCCCCTCGTGTGCCACCGAGGCTCCACCCAGACAAGGATTCAGGCACCTGAGACAACACCCTATGACGTGTGTTGACGCCGCCTTCAGCAGCGCCTCCGAACACAACAGATCCGTCATGCCACTCCAGAGTGTGCTGGCAATCCCTTTAATACCATCCATACCGGAGCCTACTCCCCTAAGTATGCTAGCTTTTATTGCACACGTGTGAAAACAGTATTTAACAAATTCTCATACTGTTTTTGCTCCACCTATCAAAGACGCCAAGGAGGCACCGAGGAAAAGGATGTGGAGCTGCCTGTGTTCTCAGAGGCCGCTCTGAGAGGCCACTTAGAAAGCTGAGACCTTGGAAGACGTCGAGCTCCCTGAGACGAGCAGGATTTACCTGGTAGGTCTGCACCAGAATGAAGATGTTGTCCACCCCGACAGCCAGCACCAAGAACGGGATGACTTCAATGACTATGAGGGTCAGGGGCATCCCCATGTAGCTGAAGATGCCCAGGGAGCAGGCCACCGAGCTCAGCACGATCAGGATCCCCGAGATGCCCAGGGAGATTTTAGAATCCACCTGATGTTGGGCAAAAGCACAGATCAGCAGAGAAGCTTTCGGGCCCACCTGGTACAGGGCTCTGTGTAAAAAAAGTGTTAAGTGTACAATTCACAGTCTGAGAGAACACAGAAGAAACTTGTAGGTTTCTTCCGAGTGACCAAGTTCATGCGTTTACAGGTATGGAAAAAACAGGGGAAAAAATTGGTTTACGTGAAGCAATCCTTAGACTTAAAGTAGACTAACACTGAAAGTGAGCTGGACGTGATAGTTGCACGCCTATAATCCCAGCACTCGGGAGGCAGAGGCAGGCAGATCTTTGAGTTCGAGGACAGCCTGGTCTACAACTTGAGTCCAGAACAGCCAGGCCTACACAGAGAAACCCTCTCTCAACAGCACTCCCTGCTCCGCCCCCCCCCCAAAAAAAAAACCAGAAAAAAAAAATGGAAGTGAAGAAAGAAGAGGCAGAAAATAGAAAAGTTCTATATAATTAACATGATGCTCACTGAAAGAATAACACACTTGAGGCAGCTTTGGGAAGAATGAATTAATAAGGATCGGAAAAAAACCACACACAGTTGGTGTCATCATTTCTAGCGCAAACATCCACGGCCCTCTTAACACCCTCCTTGAGCGCCCGGCACACTCACCAGAAGCCTGTTCCAGCTCTGGATGTGTCCCAAGGCCAGGGCAATGTACAGAAACATCACAGCATAGCTGATGATGACAGTGAACACGTCGCCGTTACTCTCCCGGTTGAGCTCATCTTCGATGCTTCTCTCAGCAGTGAAAGAAATGGTCAGGTTTGGATTCTTGTAGTTTTTCACAAAATTGATAAACCTAGAGAGTGAGCACATTTTTACATTTTCAATTAGAAACGATGTGACGGATGAGTGTCTCAACACTTGTGATATGAAGGCATTTTGCTTAGCCTCTGTCCGGGAGCCCGGGCAAGACGCCCTCCCAGCCAAGGTCAACTGCTCCACCCACGTGGTGCTGGGGTCAAAACAGGACCCTCGGCACTCTAAGGGAAGCCCTCTACCTCTGAGCCGTGACCCTGGTCCTGACTGTCTACTGTTTAGAACATGGTTAAAATTGATGAATGTTCTGTGTTTTTTCAGAGACATGTCACTATGTGCCCATGCTGGTCTAGAATTCTGAGCCACAGTGACCTTTCTGCCTCTGAGTGCTGTCACTGTCATGTTAGGCTTAAATGGAGCATATGTTAATGAATATATATATTCATGGAATAATATTTATATATATATATGTAAGTTCAACACAATCTGATTTCTTTGTGGGAAAGGATAAACTGCTTCTAAAACTCACATGCAATTGCAAGGCCCCCAAGAAGCCACAACGGTCCTGACATGAACAAAGTATGGCTTATATTTTCTAATTCCAGACTTATCACAGTAATCCAGAAGCGTGACACTGGCACAGGAACAGACATACAGACAAAGCACAGAAGTAAGAGCTACAGACACACTATCTGAACGAACTGCTTTCTGGCATGGACACTATAACCTCTTAGCAGTAGAGAGAAAAATCTTCTCAGCAAATGTTTAAGACAATTAGATGGATAAACTGTAATCAAAGAACGAAGCGGAGCCCTCACCTCATACCACACACAAAAATTAACAGGCTGGGTGGTCGCATAGGCTGTTGAAGACTGGCAAGACCTGGTCTCAAAAAGCCAAGGGCTAGGGATACAGCTCCATGCAGAGCATTTGCCTAGCATGCTAGGATTTGAAGGATTTAAATGGATCATGGGCCAAAATAGGAGTTAAAATTATAAAGGTCTCAGAAGGAAACACAAGAATAAATCTCCTGTCATTGTCTCAGGTCACATACACACCAAAAGTACATTATAGGCAATAAAAAATAAATAAATAAATAAATAAATAAATAAATAAATAAATGAATAAATAAATAAATAAATAAATTGAAATAGAAGAAATTTTTTGTGCTTCAAACGTTCAAAGGGGGAGAACTACTGAAATGGAGGGGAAAAAAAAATCTTGAAATCATCAAGAAAACGCAAATCCCAGGGCTGGGGATGTCCTCCAATGGTGGAGCACCCACCAAGCATGCATATAGCCCTAGGTTCTATCCCTAGCACTGCAGGAAACAGGGTGTGGTGGTGTGTGCCTGTGGTCCTAGCACTCGGCAAGAGGATCAGAAGTTCAAGACCATCCTCTGCTACACAGCAAGCTCAAGGCCATTCGGGCCACATGGGACTGTTTAAAACACACACACACACACACACACACACACACACACACACACACACACGGGCTGAATACGTGGTTCTGTGGTTAAGAGCACTGTCTGCTCTTCCAGAGGTCCTGAGTTCAGTTCCCAGAACCCACATGGTGACTCACAACCACCTACACTTCGATCTGATATCCTCTTCTGGTGTTCAGGTATACATGCAGACAGAGGACTCAAAACAAATAAAACACACTTCACACACACACACACACACACACACACACACACAATCAGAAAATGTAATGCGGCGCCATCCTTCACAACAGCGAGGATGGAAAGGTGAGATAAGGCATGCAAGCACAGAGGCACATCACCATTCCGTGTCTGTCAGGTCTTCAAACAGTTAAAGCCCAGTTATTCTAAGACCCAGCGACTCTTTTCCACAGATATATGTCTTCAAAGGGAGTGAAAATATGTCTGATAAAAATGAGCATACAAATACACCCAGAGTCATTCTTTATAACAGCCAAGACAGATGCTCCCCACATGTGTGCCAATGACAAACTGCACGAGCAAAATGCAGTGGGGTATTTGGTCGATATGAGAAACAAAGAACAAGAATGCATCACAGTGTGGACAGCCCTGGACAGACTGTGGCAAGCAGAGGGAGCCAGACATGAGGGGCCACACACATAACCATATTCACCTAACAGTCACAGCAGGAAAAGCTGTGAGGACAAAAGCAGATTGGTGGTTGGCTAGTGCTGTGGGGGAGAGGTTGAGGAAGGGGAAGTGGGCAGGACAGCCAAAGGGAACAGTATTTATCCTAACACAATCAGACGGTCAATTGGCTGCAGCCTTAAGTGGGATACTCAAAATGAGTGGACTGTACAGTTCACACAAAGTTCTATGACTACTTCTGTGCTCTTGAGGACCAGTACCTGTTTAAACCATCTCTTCTACGAAAATCTGCTCAAAGACTTCTTAGCATAGCTACTACCAAGGGCAACCGATCCCGTAACTTAGGTCGGCTGCAATACATACTGAGGGCCGAGCGCGCGGTGCCCGCGTCCAGCCCCACGAGTGACTCACTCTTTCTCCCAGGCCCAGGCCCTCTGGAGCTTCTCCGTGTCGTTATAGTAGTTATAGACGGGGAAGGTAATCACCAACGCCGTGGCATTATTGTAGTTCTGATCTAGAAAGCAAAAATATGGTCTCAAGAAGTGGAGTACTAGCACGCACAGTCAAACGGGGGTCATTGTAGTCCACGCTGACTCTGGTTTCCCACAAGAGCTCTCTCTGAGAGCAGTGGACACAGAACTTCCCTCCATGGTATAATTTAACCAGGTCCCCATTGATGGATATCTTTGCAAATTTTAAAAAATGTAAACAAAATTATTGCAAAGGATATCTACAAATATTTTAACACATAAAGTTCATATTTGTAGAATCAATTTTTTAAAGATTTATTTATTTATTATGTATACAGTGTTCTGCCTGCACGTACACCTGCATGCTAGAAGAGGGCACCAGATCTCATTATAGATGATTGTGAGCCACCATGTGGTTGCTGGGAATTGAACTCAGGAAGAGCAGCCAGCGCTCTTAACCTCTGAGCCATCTCTCCAGCCTCTGTAGAATCAATTTTTACCTGTCAATTTTGAGTCAAAACTATGGGTGCACAAGTGTCTGCCTCTGCCTCCCAAGTGCTGAGATTAAAAGTGTGTATCACCACCACCCAGCAAGAGCTTTTTATGACAGGAGGCAGAGCACATCTCAAATACGGGTCACAACTTCTCCCCTGCCTGGGAGGGAGGGAACAAAAGATCTCTGGCCTCTTTAGCAGCTGCAGAAACACCTGTTTGGCTGGCAGCACAGGGCAGATGGTGGAGGATCATGTATCATCACCTCGATTTACACAGCAAGCTCTATTCCAAAAGAAGAGCCACAGGAAGCTGCAAGTGGCAAACAACTGCTCTTTCTGCTGTGAGTGTTCACTGTTCTGACTGGTTTAAAACAAAAAACAAAACAGTCCACTGGGGCTGGAAAGCTGGCTCAGCAGTTAAGAGCACTAGCTGCTCATCTAAAAGACCCAGGTTCAATTCCTAGCACCCACCTGGCAGCTCACAACTGTCTGAAGCTCCAGTTCCAGGAGATCTGACACCCTCATACACACACATACATGCAGGCAAACATCAATGCAAATAAAATATAAATAAATAAACAAATCCACAAAACACCAGTCCATTTCTTTTTTATTTCTTATTTTATTAAGATAGGATCTCACTATGCAGCTCAGGTTGAGTCCCACACTCAAGATCCTCCTACTTCTATCTCCTAAATGCTGAGATTTTTTTTAAAAAAGTATTTATCTCCAAACCTGGCTCACTTCTTTTAAGTCCAGAATAAAATTCAAATCCAAAGCTAAAGGCCATACTTCGGGAATTGAATAGGTGGGGAATTAACGCTGCCCATTACCAGAGCTTTGTAAACACCCTGGCTGGCTAGCAATGAAACCAGAACAGCTCTGAGGACCAGGAACTTCTTACCGTCATAGCCACCCAGCACAAGCCACGGGAACACTGGTCCTCCAAATGTGCCCAGGCAAGGACCGTGGAGCACACTCGTATCATTCAGAGAGGCCGGAGCCCTGCCAAAAGTTCAGAAAAACTCACAATTAGAACTCCCAAAACATCACACCAACCAACACTTCGATGGCGGTGTCTGTATCCTAAGTGCACTCTAGTTCCTTAGTTGAATAACACGCCTGTCACCCACCTCTAGGAAATCAAGTCACTGGGCACCGGCCAGGAGCCGCTACCACCCCAGCGAGACCAGCGACACAGGGGTAAAGGGTGCAGGGGCAGCCCGCCACCATGAGAGCTGGCTCTCTAAAGGAAGACGTGGGTGAAGGAGGTGGCTGTGTGTGACAGCCTCTTCAAAGTGTGGGTTGTGCATCCGCATGAGGTCAAATAACCGTGGGGTTTACCAAAGACCCGGCAGTCTTTTATAAAGTTTCTGAATGTTGAACAACCAGAAGTTATTAAAAAATCAAAGGCATCAACAAATGCTCTGAGTATTGATCATTGTAAAATCAAGACGCTGACCAACTCTGAAAAGCCAATGTCCATCCAAGATTTCATTCTTTATGCTAAATAAGTACACCCATCTCATTAGTATGCACACCTGCTTTCGTCTTTAATGATGCTTCTAAGTATACTAAAGAAGTGCCTTAAAACAAATCTCATCATGATTTATCAGCAGTAAATGTTTGATGGGCACTCATCTCATGTACCACCATACCCAAGAACCCACAGAAACTTCTTGGGTGAATAGGGCCCGAGTGGAATAAACTATGCTCATGAACGGAGCACACAGGCCCGTGGCAGGGGAGAAAGGCTAGAGGATGGTGGCTCGGGGGTGGAAAGCCTTATCCTGGAGCACGAGGTGTGCACAGAGCCAGGCTCCCAGGGGAGGAGGCAGGGCTGCAGAGGATGAGAATCAGGCTGGGAGGCGACAAGGACTCGGAGGCGCCACACAGGGTGACTTAGATGTTCATCCCGGAGACTCCGGGGAACAAGCAGAGTTCTAGAGACACACTGCATGAGCTCTGTGCAAAAGGAGCAGAAACTGAGCCAGACACAGGAAGCAGGCTGGCCACGCTGGGGGCTTGTCAATGGCCTGGGCAGACATGTCAGGGTAGTCAGCAGCCAGGACTCAGCCGGGCACTGGGGCTGGGGTGAACAGAGCTGCCAGGATGAGCCCTGGAGGCGGGGGGCGGTCCTTTCCTCCCCGCCTGACTGCAAGGACAGAGGAGAGGCCATGCAGAAGCTCAGATGCTTAAGGAAAGTGGGAGTTGGGGACAGGCCCGAGCTCATGAACTGGACTCATGATGGCTCCCAGGGAGCCTTCACAGGCAGCCTCCGAGCTCAGGCCGCAGCTCCAATGAGACACTGTCTCCCACATTTTTGTTTTTGTTTTTTTTTTTTTTTTGGTTTGTAATACAGGAAAATAGTTTTTCCTCCAAATATAGAAATTACATAATATTGAATGTTTTTTCAGCCACCCACAGCTCTCTCCTACCATCTGCACAGGGAGGAGTGCCGGCTCGGGGCATGGGAATGCATGTACATTCAAGTCTCATGCAAACGACTTGCTTTTAGCAGCAATGTCACTGAAGTAACGTGAACACAGCCCAGCAGCTGAACCATCACATACCAACCACAGACATATGAGGTCACGATAGCCCTCGGTCAGGGCACTCCACTCTGGAGATGGTTAGAGACCAAGTCATTTCTGTTTCCGTGGTGACCAAAGAGGCACAGCTAGACATCTCTCTCCAGCCCAGGTCAGAGCATTCAGGGATGGTAGGCCTACCAGGAGTTACGCCATGATCCCTGACAAGCCTGAGGTCCCTCACAGACCACTCAAGCAGATGACTAATCCCACTTAGGAGCAGAGAAAGCACCCACCCCAGGGCCTTTGCTTTTGCTACTCATGCTGCTTGGAACACTTGCCTCTGATGCCCACAGACTTCCTCCCGTCCTCTCCCTGTGGGCAGCTCTCCCCTCTAAAGTGGCACAGAATCCGATCTCTCCTGCTCAACCTCAGTGCTCTCCTCATAGCCCCTCAGCTCTACCCGACACGACAGAATATACAGTCATGTATCACGCGGCCGCTTCTCTCGGCGGCAGACCAGAACCAGAAGATCCCCCGGGGTACTACTACTTAATGACGTCACAGTGTAAATACACGTCATGAGGCCTGTGCTAACTTAACAATGGTGTTTTCAGACTCTGCCTCCACTGCAAAACAACATCCAACCATTTCTTTGTTTGTTGTTGGTCTCCCTCCTCTAGGACGGGAGCCTCTCAGGGCACATCCTGCTCCGCCTGCTGGGTGTCCGGTTCTCCTGACTAGAGTGAGCAACAGTTCCCCAACACTGACTACGGGGATGGCTGCTACCACTTACCGCACACAGTACAGAAAGTGCGTGTGGTAGTCGGCATACACGAAGAAGTCATCGCCTATTTGGCGGTCCAGCACTGAATGGCTGTTCTGGAAATAATTTAACACACTGAAAATGGTGCAGTTCTTGTTGTACGGAGAAAGCGGGGCCACACAGATGTCCTGAAGTGTCACGGTCTTGTTGTCATAGGATGCAGTGATACTTTCAATGGCAATCTGCAAGTCAAGAACCTGAAAGATTTTGGAAGTAGGCAAACTCAGAAACATGCCAGGTTTCCACAACGACTCTTCTCCTAACCAGCACTGCCCTGAGAACTCAGCCGATAAAGACGTTCTGAGGAAACACTTCCTAGGATTGGGGAAGACCATTCACGGTGTGGGGAGAGCCGAAGGCCCTTCCTAACAGAAAATTGGGGTGAAGAACTCTGTTTGGCAGTGTCTGAGAAGGAGACATCATTACCACAGCAGACCCCAACGACCAACACAAAATTCACCCTCTTCAGTGTCTACCAACACAGCTCCAGGTCTTCCTGAAATTATCCCTTGCCTAAAATATACCACTTTCTGCCTTGTTCTGCTCTGTGTGTGAGCTTCTTTCCTTTTTCCAACACAGGGTTTCTTTATATAGCTTGGCTATCCTGGACTCACTCTGTAGACCAGGCTGATCTTGAACTCACTGAGATCTGCCTGCCTCTGCATCCTAGAGTGTTGGGATTACAGGGGTGCACCACCAAACCTGGCTGTGTGTTTCTAATAAAGGATATTATCTGGCGGACAACTGAGGAATTGCCTAGATTGGATTGGCCTATGGGTATATTGGCAGGGGACCGTCTTGAACTGTTGACTTTGGCTGTGAAGTGAGTTTTTTGACTGGAAGTAATGCTGTGTGGAATAGCAAGCAGGCTGCCTTCAAGTTCCTGCCTTGAGCTCCTGCTTGACTTCCCTTAGTGATGAACTGTGTGATCTCAAACTGTAAGCCATAGAAGCCCTTTCTTCCTCTATGTGCAACAGAAACGAAACAGGACAAGTACAGTTTCCTCGGGTAATGGCAGGTTACCTGGTGCAGAATCTCTTTGTCCAGCGGAGGCCCGAAGGGCACATCGGACCCAGAGGGGTATGGCTCATAGATGTGGACGCTGGTGTTGGGGGCCTGGATAATAAGTTGCTCCGTTCGAAAGAAAGGCCCAAAGTGCTTGTCAAAGTACTCCTTCTCCAGGCGGGCCTGACTGTGAGGGGCTGACCAGAGCTCCACAGGGTTGGTGGTGACCTGGACGAACACCAGGCCGGAAGAACACACCGCGATGAAGACCAATGAGAAGAAAATGACGCAGGTGGGATTTCGGACGCAGAAAGCCCCCCACTTAGTGAACATGCGCCTCAGACAGTCATCAAATGCTGCACCAAGTGGGTCACAACACGAGGCTTCCCCTGGAAGAGAGAGGAGAGGAGATTACTAGCCAAGCCATTCCCGAAGGTGGGGGCAGGGGAAGTATTCACTGCTATGGTGGGTGATCTGGCCCCACACCCACTCCATGCTCACAGTCCCCTAGCCTCTGTCTGACCCTCTCTCAGTGAGGCCACTCTCCTTGGCTACTCGGGATAGACCCTCTTGTGACTGCATTTCAGTCCACTCTGCCCTAGAGCTTCTGTGGCTCTTCCCTCAGCCCATAATTACATCATTGCTTTTATTACTTGGTTCTGAGGTGCCACACTGATGCCCAGTCACTGCCACAAGGCAAGGGCTTCTTCTGCCATCACTACGGCTGTGTCCTCAGCAATAATGTACCGCCTTACATAAAGACAAGGCTCGCAGACCCACAGAATCCAATCGCTTGACCTACACAAGCATGCCTACCTTTGTCACTGGTGTTCACAGAAAAGGCTATGTTGCTGTCAATGGGAGTGTACTCAGACACAAAATACCGCCTTCTGAAACAGAAGCATGGAAGCTGTGTTAGCAGACTTCGTTACAGTGCAAAGCTCACTTCCTCATCCTGGCCTCTGCGCCCTGTTGGCAACTTTCCCTGCCTGAGCTCGCCAGCCTAGGAGGATATTTAAGAAGATATTAAAATGACAAAGCACCAGCAGCTAATGATGTCACACAGAATCCACATGTGTCACTTTTAGGTCCTTTAAAAATACATTTCCAGGGCTGGAGAGATGGCTCAGAGGTTAAGAGCCCTGGCTGCTCTTTCAGAGGTCCTGGGTTCAATTCCCAGCACCCACATGGTGGCTCACACCTGTCTATATCTGATGTCTTCTTCTGGTAAACATGCAGATAAAGCACTTATACACGTAAAATAAATAATTCTTTTTTTAAAAAAATTTATTTCCAGTAGCAATAAGCACCTCAGTGCCCAGACCATGGCCCCTCAATACCATCCTCTAACAAAAAGGACCAGACACTGCTTGAAAAAGAGAAAGATTCTAGGCCTGGGGCAGGAAAATGAGTGAGCCTGGGGTTTGGAGCATGTCATAAGAACACAGAGGCCAACGGGAAGGCACGCCACACGGGTGTTAGATGCCATCCACAGAAAGAACATCTAGAGGGTACGCTGCCGAGTGACTAAGTGAAGGAAGGGTCCAACTAGTAAATGAGGGGGAGAAACCCATGCGGAAAACACCAGCGGACAGCAGGGGCGGCCTCTTCCACATGGAATTACTGCTGCACAGTAGAGACCCGTCAGCCCCACCACAACTGTGGGGTCCAGGCAAACCTTAGTGGCAATGAAACACATCAGGACCACAGACTCCCCAGCAAAGCGCACTGAGAAACACAGCACATCTGCAATGCTCCTGTCCACACACAACCGCAACACAACGCTAAGCAAGTACCACATGCTGGCCATGGAAAGACATGACCAGTATCCACCAGAGCATCCTGGAATGGAGGCAGCTAATGCAACTACACAGTCACCGTGCTGAGGAGCCCTGGAAGCTAACAGCGGGCACAACCTCACCAACACTGTGAGGACTGGAAAAAGTCTGTGGTTTAGCTAAGAACACGACGATCATGCTATTTTTGGATTTTGAACATTGCCTATGAGTTCTGTAAGCCGTAATGTTACAGGAAGCTCAGGACACACACACATGGACTTGCTGTTTCTGCAACCTTCTGGTGACTCTAAAATTATTTCATGGTAGAAGTTTTAAAAATGTATTGTCTTGGGCTGAAGATGGTTTAGTCTGTATAGCGCCTACCATGGAATCATGAGGACCTGATTTAGATCCCAAGAACACATGTAAAAATGGCAGGCATCGTGGCATTTGTAATCCTAGCGCTAGGAAGCAAAGGTAAGTGGATACCTGGAGCTTGCTGGCCATCCAACCTTCACAACTGGTAAGCTCTAGGCCATGAGAGACCTTGTGTCAAAAAACAAAACAGGGAGCTGGAGAGATGGCTCAGAGGTTAAGAGCACTGTCTGTACTTCCAGAGGACCTGAGTTCAACTCTCAGCAACCACACGGTAGCTCAGAACCATCTGTGATGAGATCTGGTGCCCTCTGGCCTGCAGGTGTACATGCAGATACATGTACACCTACATGTACATGGATACATCTACATATAAAGAAACAAAACGAAACAGAATGGAGGGCAACTGCGCAAACCTGACCTTTGCGCATACATGTGCACATACATGTAGACATCTGAGCAGACACAAATAGGCTGCCTTCAACAAGATATGAATATAGACTGTAGTTCTGCATGTAACCACTTGATCAGACGTGCTGCACACAGACCGCCTGGGTCACTGCAAGGCAATCTCGTAGCATGTTGAATAAATCAGTCAAACTAACTTCAAATGTTGAAGTATCTACACAAGACCCAACTTGCCGACTGCAGAGCTTAAGCCATGCAGGGGATGACAGTCACCTAGGTATTTACTCCCCGTCTGGACTACCTTAAGTCACTGTGAGCTAAAGGTGCCACGTGGGCAATTTTGCTCTTCGTGTCTTGAAGGAAACAAACAACCAACTGGCTTACCTGTGGCACCACACTGCCAAAAGTCCTCCAAAAAATAGAAACAGAAATGCCATGTAGGTGGCCCACATGATGACATACATGGCGTCCATGCCCAGGATCCTCCAGGGCACCGGAGGTGGAGGGGGCTGGGGCTTGGGGCCACAGACGGCGGAGCAGTCCTGGCAGCTACACGGCCCCGTGACCTCATCGACAGACTCGCTGCAGTCTTTGGTGGCATTTCTCATGGGCTCCATCCCAAGGACTGAAAAGTCTACGAGAAGAAACGATGCCGAGTTAGAAGCTCACGGGAAGACGTCCCGAAGTACACAGGAACACAGCGTGGTACGGCTGCCGACTAAGAATGGAGGCTGCTGGGTCATCATTCATTGTGCTTGGTGGTTTTTTTCTTGGGGGGGGGGTAGGATGTGAGTGAGCACTGACAGCATCTCTGAAGGCCGGGTTGGCCGGGGATATGTGTAGCTATGTGCAAGCCTGAGCTTCCGATTCCTCCGCCTCTGTCTCCTGAGGGCCAGCGTGTGTGCAGCTGGTTCAGGCGTACACTGGCACCCCGGCTTCATGCAGTGCTGCAGCCCGAAGGCTCGCAGGCTAGCGCTCTAAGTTGCGCCCCCATCCTTAACGCCTGCGGTGATGTCAGCAGCCCTGTGCACCAACCACAGAAGGTGGTTGGTTCCTCAGTGTGTCTGGCTTTTACTCTCAACAGCCAGGCTAATACCACAGCCGGCACTCCTCAGCCTGCACACACACACAGATACACATAGACACACAAACACACACGGTTCAGTCTTTCAGTTACATTGTCGGTCCCTAAAAGCAATTCCTTCCTCAGCCAGCCCTCCTAAGTGAAGCAGGCAGGTCGAATGTCCTCCCTCTCTCTCTGAATTTATGTTTCTAGAGCTGATTACGATTCCTGGTTAACCTGGGGGCTGCCGTCCCTACCTGAGAAAATGGGAATGATGGTGAACGGTGCCTGTCCGTTGTCTTTATTGAACATGTACTCAATCCAGTTGGTGGCATTGCAGGCGCTGGCGTCCCTTCCACACAGGAGTCCCAAGGCCTTCTCGTTGCTGGAAGGGGCTTCCACATCACGGCAGGCGTTGTACATTGCTGGAAGGGAATCCCAAGGGAAAAGATGCAGCCGTTACGCTTGCTTTAACGCACCACTCAAGATCTCACTGAAGCGCTCTGAATGGAGCACTGTGACCATGCTGCAGCCAGCAGGGGAGGAGACGCAGGGCGGGAGGGGATTCCAACTGTTCTCCCAACAGCTTCGAGAAATCCCACCTCAATTAAGCGAGCTCAGAGAGATTCAGGAAGAATCTTAGCTTCACTTTGGCCAACAATGCTCATTCTGGAAACCTCCACGGTGGGAGACTACAGGCCGCAGGACTGAGGACCTCAGGTAAGAGATCACATATGAATGAACTTAATTTGTGGGTCCCTGCTCGGTAAAAATCTTCCTGGGATCACCTTCCCCTGAACCCAAGGAGACACCTGCACATTCAGTTTTCTTCCACCCCAGGGAGACAGGTTAGCCGGGCTGACAGGGGTCTTCCACGGAAGTTGGAATATATTACATTCTAGCCTGTATCTGGGCTGGAAAGAAAATGTTCTGTTGTGTGTGAGCACTGGTGTTCTGTTTGGGGCTCTCAATCCTCCTGCCTCAGCCTCTAGAGCACGAGGGTTACAGGCACGTGCCACCACACTCGCCTTTGTTTCAGGACCTATGTCTGGGGAGCACCATAGCTTTCTGAAGGTAGGCCTGAGTTGAGGGCGGTAAGGATGCAAATGTGAGCAAAGTAAAATGCTACACAGGTAAGAAAAAGACACCAGCACAACGTAAGCCATGATTCTGTGTGCTGCTACAGAACCGCACAAGCAAAAAAGCTACACGGAGGGTCTAGCTTTAAAAACAAAAGTACAAACAACTTTGAGCCAGCCCTGTTGGTACATGCCTTTGACTCTAGCATGTGTAAGGTGGAGTCAGGAGGATCAAGAGTTCAAGGCCAACCTTTGTGACATACTAATTTAATACGTGACATGCCAATTTTGAGACTGTCTCAAAAACAAAACCCACAAAAAAAAAAAAAAAAAAAAAAAAAAACACCACCAAAACTCCCCAATTATCAGATAACAAACTTCACTGAAACGTAATTACATACTCCATAATATCTCCACTTGAAGCATGCAGCTGGACCACATGATAAGCATGCTCAGTCTCACAAGCAACCGCCAAACTATCGTCACACATGCTCGCACGTGTGAGTGCCACTCAGGACAGACAGTGTTCCCGGCACTGTGTGCTCTCCCCAGGGGCCCCTGCAGTTGTTACTGAGCTTCCCGGGAATGCCCGTCCTCTGCATCTTCTCCTATGTGTTCATGCATCTCCGGTGAAGTGTTTGCTCAGACTTCTTGGCCACTGTCTACCTTCCTGAAGAGTTTCAGCAGTTCTCTAAGTCTGCCTTTTGCACACACTCCCTCCCAGGCCACGGCTTGTCCTTCATTCCCTACATGTTCCCACTCTTTGAAAAATTTACTTATTTTTCCATGTACGTTGGCGTTTGGCCTGCATGGATGTCTGTGAAGGTGTCAGACTCCCTGGAGCAGTGGGTACAGACAGTTGTGAGCTGCCACGTGGACACTGAGAATTGAACCCGGGTTGTCTAGAATAGCAGCCAGTGCTCTTAGCGCTGAGCCATCTCTCCAGCCCCATTTCCTCTTTACATCAATGATGTTCTTATTGGGTCTCCCGTTTATATGCATTTAACTTAGGGTGTCTGTAGGGAGGACTTGCTGCTCACACGCACTCATGGTTTGTGTGAGTCCTCTTCGCTCATACACATACAAGTTCCTGGCTTCTATGGGGGCTCCCTCCTCACATATATTCATGGTTTCTGTGGAGTTGTCTGATGCTCTCTCTCTCCCTCACACACACACGATTCCTGGAGGGTCTCCCCGCTCATGGTTTCTGTAAAAAAGGGGTTCTGCAGGCAGAATCTCTGAGATAAAGGCGTGTTTATCTTCAGCTTCACCAGGTATTGCAAAATCGTTTTTCAAATGGTTGCAAGCATTTACAGCAGCAACGAGGGGCAGCCAGTCTGTTGGCAGACCTGTTGCTTCACGTCCTCACAGCTGGAACTGACAAACTCAACGTGTGCCAATCTGATATGACACGAAGAGGGACGCACTGTTTTAACCCGTATTTCACGGCTATTCTGGACACTCACCGCTTTTGGTTTCTGCCTTTATTCTCTTGTCAAGAAATATTTTCTTACCTTAAAGCCAGATAAAATTCCTATGTTTATTTGTACACATTTTCAAGATAAGTCTTTTTAATCTACGCAGCTTTTATCGTGCATACTAAAACATAGAGGGATATTCCAGTTTTTTGCCCCACCTACCAACGAGCCCTCCTCTCAGTGTCTGCAGTGACACAGCTGTGTGGAGTTCTCCATATACGCTTCTGAGTCGGGCCAGAATAGTCTCCCCCTGGGCGGTAACATCACATCTTCTGGAAGACTTTGTCCTACCAACCTTGTCACTTTGTGAATGGAACTTTTTTGCGATTAAACGATTGAAAATTTCCGTTTGTTTTCTGGTGTTTTGAGATATAATGTGTGTGGTGCAGGTTGGCCTCTACTTCATGGCCTCGGCCCTCCAAACGCTAAGAGGAAAGTTGCCTGACCTCACCTGGCCGTGTGACTTTTTAAAGTGGTCCTTACAATCAACAACTTTGCTGACCCTACTGACCCTAGTACACTTACACATTACTTATTAAACTCAGAGAATTATGTATCGTTATGACATTCTCAAAGTTTGCGTTAGCATACTCTCTCCCCTCATCTCTCCCAGTCTCTGCTCCTCCACTGTACTCTCCCCTCTGTCTCCTTCTCCCATGTCAATATTGTCCTTTTGCCAGACCCTTCTTCAGCACCACTTTTTAGCCTCTCTTGGTTTCCATTCTAGATTAAGTTTGTACTGACATTTGTGTGTGTGTGTGTGTGTGTGTGTGTTCCAAGCTAGGATTTGCATAGCTGACTGAATGTGTAGATTTCATCTTTCTAGGTTTAGGTCACTTTGCTTAATATTCTATTTCTAGATCCAACCATTTTCCTGAAATTTTCATTTTTCTTTACAGCTGAACGAATTCCACTGTGTACATGATCCCATTTTCTTTACCATTCCTGTGTTGATGGGCATCAAGGCTGTTTCCAAGTCCTTGCTGGCATGAACAGCACAGCCATGAGCTCAGATGCACAGCACCTCTGTGGGGGACATGGAGTCTGTTGGGCACATGCCCAGGAGTGGTGGAGGTGGGCCTGGAAGTTTTTGGACTGCTTAGACACTTGTTGTTCAGCCAGGCCGACTTTCCTATTATTTTAAGCCCGTTTCAGTGACCATGCCTTAAGATCTGACTGCGTCTATTTGCCATTTGTTCATTCCTGTTCTGCAGCATTTTCTTCTTTTCCCAATTCTTTCGTTTCGGTAACTCTCTGGCAGGTGGATGGGTCTCTCTGTCGCGGCTCCGTGTTCTCCGGTGACTGATGTGCGGCGATCCACCTGTATGGGCACTCCTTGTGCTGTGTGGTGCTTCACCTGCTGCATGGAGGCGCCCCGTTCCGTACTGGGGCGCTCCTCAGGTCCTAACTGCTTACTTTCCCTTTGATGACTGATTTCTCCGCTGTCACCTATTCTTATTTCTACTGTCTCTTGAGCTTAAAATAAGTCATGTCTCCCCGAGTCGGTGTTGGACAGTTACTAAAATGTGCACAAGTAAACTTGCATATACTGAAAAATCTCCACATGATAACGTAAAATAGGAAAGATCTTTTAAGATATTTGCTACTTTCTTGAGACTTCATTTTTCTTTTCTGTGTATGGGTATTTCTGGCTGCATGTATGCACGTGTGTCACGTGTGTGTCTAGTGCCAGAGAGGCCGGAAGAGGGCATCAGCCAAAAGAGGGCACTGCATCCACTCCGACTGGGGTTACAGGTGGCTGTGAGCCACCATGTGGGTGCTGGGAATTGAAACTGGGTCCTCTGAAAAGCAGCCAGTACCTAATAGTTGAGCCATCTCTCCAACCCCAAGACTCATTTTTAATTTTGTTTGAGAGTGTGTGTGTGTGTGTGGGTATGTGTATGGTTTGCAGGTGTCCACAGAGGCCAGAGGTGTCAGAGCCCCTTGCAGAGTTGAGGTTATGACTGGTTCTAACCACCTGACATGGTGCTGGGAGCTGAACTAAGGTAAGATCCTCTGATAGCGCAGAATCTGTATTCCTAACTGTTGAATGACCTTTCCAGCCCCCAAATTAGCAGAATTTTAAAACAAATGCTTTCAAGGGATCACTTTATTGGTTGTAGCTCAACTCTCAGAAGACAGCAAACAATGACCGGTGTACAAAAACTGTGACTTTCCACACAGTTGCTAGGGTAACAACAAGTGCATCATCTAGAGCCCTGTATCAGCTTTTCCAGAGGAAGAAGATTGATGTCTACTCACCGTTGGCAAAGCTCTGTCCAATATAGTACTCTAATTCCTTCACGTTTGTTTTATTCTCCCGTGTCTCAGGATCAAAATAGTTTTCAGTTGCTGTCACATTCAGAAACTGACTCTGCCAAGGGCTACATGTCAGCTCACAAAACAGGGTCATCAGGTTATAAAAACATGATGGACATCTAAAGAAAACCAGCAAAAATAAACCAGCAAAGATAAACCAGCAAAAATAACAGGCAAAATAGTTACAGAGTATTTAAAGTGTACTGAAAGGAGACAAAGAAGTTACCCGGATCGGAAATTTTTAAACCCTCTTCCTCTTTTCTCCCCAGAGCCGCAGATTCTTTTTACTTTATTTATTTTTACCTTATGTGCATTGGTGTTTTGTCTGTATGTATGTCTGTGTGAGGGTGTCAGATCTTGACTTACAGTTACAGAACTGGAGTTACAGAGAGTTGTGAGCTTGGAATTGAACCTGGGTCCTCTGCAAGAGCAGCCAGTGCTCTTAACCACTGAGCCATCTCTCTAGCTCTTAGACTCACACATTTCTTAAAACCTTATAGTAACATAAAGAAATAGCTTTTAAAATTGCCCTAATACTGTATTTAATTTATTCATAAATAACTTTAAAAAATTGAGGCTTTTCTGAATTCTGTGTTTTATAATTAGAGGTTTGTTTGTTTGTTTTTTTTTTTTTTTTTTTTGGTTTTTCAAGACAGGGTTGCTCTGTGTAGCCTTAGGTGCCCTGGACTTTCTTTGTAGACCAGGCTGGCCTCGAACCCACAGTGATCTGCCTGCCTCTGCCTCCCTGAGTGCTGGGAGTGAAGGCATGCGGCACCATGCCTGGCTAAAGATTTCTCCAAAAATGTCACATTTCTGATTAAGAGACTAAGGGGTAGAGGGGTGTGTGTGTGTGTGTGTGTGTGTGTGTGTGTGTGTGTATGTGTTTGTGTGTGTAAAGGACCACTATAGGATTTATACTTCTGCTTTCTTCTGAGAGCCGAATAACCCTAGCCTCTGACTTCCCTGCAAGGTCTGAAGATTAAAAACAGCCATCGGATCAAAGCCTGGCACAGTAAAAGGTAAAAAAAAAAAAAAAAAACAACAACAACAAAAAAAAAACCAAATCAAAACAGAGAAGTGTGATGGCAGCGCCTGCTGTGTGCACTGCGGCAACATACGGGTTTCCTGGAAGACCACAGCTGACTGCTGTCCTCTGGGTTCAAAGTTTAAAGCTCCTGGTGTTGACTTGTATGGGTGGCTAAAGTGTTCTCTCTCCCCTTTGGCCCACAGTTACCTCACCGTTCCATGGAGTTCGAGGAACAGGGGCAACTGAGAGTACTGTGTAGTCTGATCCCGCCCCACTGATGAGGCCTGACAGGATGAGGAAGGGGTGTCCAGTCTTCAAGAGCCTCCCCAGAAGTGGACACAGGCACCGTGGCTCTTTTCAGACCTTGGCTGCCACTAGGTCCTCTGTAAGACCAGCACGTGCCTCAACTGCTGAGCCATCTCCCCAGGACAAAATTAGAATTTTAAAACAGGTACTTTAAAAACATTGTTTCAATGGTTGTAGCTCAAGTCCTAGAGTACAGGAAACAGTGACAAAATCAGATAGTCTGACTGCAGCGCTCTGACAGCTCTGACAGGAATCATGCCGGGATGCACTGCTTTCCTCTCCTCGGGGCTTCATTTAACCTCCACATCGAATCAGAACACTCCACGTCGGCTTGCTCCTCTTGTTCTAACGTGAGCCTGAACCTCTGCTGACGTGGGGTGCTAACTGTGGTAAATGTTTATTTCCACCATGTAGAGTGGGTAGTAACTACATGTGCTTTGATCACGCGCCAAAGCTCTGATCTGGCTGCAACAATGGCAGCGGCCTAGAGAGGCCGGAGCAGGTTCTATTCTTTGACCTATCATTACATTCCATGACGTCTGGGAGAAGAATTTAGCAATGGCTTTCCTCTCTGCGCCCACTTCTCCGAAGAAGTGCCCCGAGCAGAAGCAGGGTAGGGCCCTGCCTCTGCAGAGGGCATTTTCTGCTTCTTCCTCCATCCTTGTCCACCTTTACCAGTGTGCTAAAGTCTGGATGGTTTTCAAACACCAAAACCTGCTGTTCTTTGCACATTTGAAAGCTACTGGGTAGGCTTAAGGAGCATGTATTACACAATCCTTTTGCACCGCCAACTACGCTGGAACAATAACGCAAGCCCCTATCTCCTTAAGAGCAGCGTTGCAGCACAGATAGGCGCAAGAATGCAGGCGAGGACCAGCGGGGTGCTGCCAAGCGCAAGGACCCGAGTTTGATTCTCCGGAGCCCCGTGGTGGAAGGAGAGAACCAATCCCCACAAGCTGTCCTCTGACTTCCACGTACACACAACATGTACACATGCTGCATACAGACATACACTAAGGAAAGACCAGAACAAACACTCAGAGAAGCGTGGCAGGCAAAGCAGGGCAGCAAGAAGAGACAACAACTCAGGGGACCACACAGAGGAAGGACAGGGCACCGAGCAGGACGCCTCGGCACTGTGCACAGAGGCTTCCCTCTAAGGGGCCCGAGGCCCCTGTGCAGCTCCCCTCGGGGGCTAGGGCACCTCGAAGGAAACCAAGTCTACGCTCCGACTGCAACTTGGAAGAGAACTGAGTGGCACGTGTGACTTCTCTCTTCCTTCATACGTGCCGAGAGTGCCTCCTCGGTGCACGCCCGAGCGAACAGATGGTGTGTAAAAGCACACCAGGGTCACTGCATCTAGATGCCCATCGGCCGTTCGCCGCTGGTCAGCCTACCTGGACAGGAACTGCAGGGGCAACTGCAGGTTGCCCTTCAGCGTCTGAAGCTGTTGAATATCACAGCAGAGGCTGACGTTGTCAAAGAAGAATCCGGGACAGAGCTCCTGTGAGGAGAGACGGAGTTCCGAGAGCCACTCGGGCACACAGGCAGGGCACCTTCACTCCTGCCATTCTCAGGTGCAAGGGGCGGCTCGTCAGTCCTGTACTACTGACAAAACCCTCTTAAGAGTCTCCCGAGCCTGCCATTCAGGAAGTGGGGATTCACAAGATGGCACAGATAGTCTATTTTCCTTTCCTTTACTATTTATTTTGCTTCACAAGTTAGCCGAGGCAAGTTCGGCCACAATGCCATGCCCACTCATGACTCTGGGGACAGTCAAAACTTTACTAATGCGGAAGAAAGGAACAAGGGTGATCAGAAGACCTGGTGCCACGCTGGATTACCAAAGCCCCCAAGGCCAATCTTCTCAGCTGGATTTTTCCCAGTAGTTTTTTTTTAAACAGCCCTAAGAATCAAATTAACAAAAAGCCGCGTCCTGGGGGACAGCCAGAACTCACAGGCTCACAGGCCCTCAGGCCCTGAGAGGAATCGCTGAGAGAGGGGAAGAGAATTCCGAGCCTCTTAGTGGCAGACTAAGCAAAAGCAAGCCTTCAAATCTGGGAGCGACTTCTGATTCGGTTTGCAGAACTACTGAAGAGCGGCACCTGAGGTACTGAGGTCATCTCTAAAGAGTGACCCGCTCCTGGGAAACACTGGGAGACACACATAGTCAGCACCTGGGAGATTAAGCCTGAAGCCATTTTATCGGCTCTGTGATATGGGGTGCAGGCTGGAGACTAGGTTAAGATTTAAATAAACCTAGGGGCTGGAGCAAGAAACTCACATTCAGTTCCCAGCACCTACATGGTAGTTCACAACCGCCTGCAACTCTGGTCCCAAGGAACCCAACACCCTCTTCTGACCTCTTGGGCTCTTCTAACCTCTTGGGTGTGTATGTAAAAGCTTACACACACACACACACACACACACACACACACACCATCTTTACACAAAGATTCAAAGCCTTTTAGTCTCATGACAGCATCCCTGGTACCATTCCACAAGACACTGCACAGTGTTCTCAAAACAGCACGCTTACCTGCACTAAGTCATAGCCATCCTTCGGCAGAGGTTTTGGTGGACCAGAATATTCACAGTTGTACCTCTTGTCTCCAGTCGCAATTCCACACTCTCCATACCAAACACAGGACTGTAAAAACACCTACAGAAAGTCAATATGGAAAAACAGATTTTAGGAAGAAGAGTTAACAAACCTTTCGATGCTACCCAGCGAACAAAGTTAATAAACGATCTTGTTAAGTTAAACGTGTCAAGAAATAAATAAAGAAGGAACAAGCCAGGCATGGCGGGGGTCTTATGCCAGCAATCCCAGCATTTGTGAGGCCAAGACAGAAAAGGCTCGCGGTCAAGGCCAGCCTCAGTTACATAGTTAGGATCAGCTCGAACTACCCAGCAAAACCCTGTTATCTCCCAAACAAGCAAAACCCCCAGGCCGCAGGAATGGAGCCATGATGGTTCAACTGCTGCCTTCTCTTCCAGAGGCCCACAGTTCCCAGCATCCACCTGTAACCCAGCCCTATGGTGTCTGAAACCCAGGCTCACCCACACTCACAGCGTATACATACACACACACACACACACACACACACACACACACACACACACACACTACTTTTTAAGCTGGGTGCAGTGACACACACCTATAACCCCAGCACTCGGAGAGGCAGAGGCAGGTGGATCTCTGTGAGTTCAAGGCCAGTCTGGTCTACAAAGTGAGTCCAGGACAGTCAAGGATACACAGAGAAACCCTGACTCAAACAGATAACCCCCCCCCAAAAAAAAACAACCCAGCACCTTTTAAAAAGCAAGCAAGCCTAATGCCCCAAATGGATCTGTCGAGTCAGTAATGCAGGTATGATAATTATTTAATTGAGGGCTGTCTGTCATTCTAGTAAGACCCACAGTACAGGTCAGAGCACACAGTACTGGGCAAGTGAGTGATTATGAAGGCACTGTTTTTACCCAGGAAATTAAACAACCAAAAGGAGGTGTCCCTGTATATTTAGGTTAACTGCTATTGGTACTTCAGAAGTCCCCCGAAGAACAAAGCCATAAATGCCACCAACCTTACCAAAAAGGAGGTGCACGAATGGACGCTGTCCCTGAGGGCTAAGGAGAACGCCAAGGAGCGCACACGCTGAGTTTGAGGACTAGCACCAAGGCAACACCGACTTGCTAATATTTTGTATGAAAAGATGTCTCAAGTGCCACTCATATTCCTCACGTGACAGTCACAAGGAAGGGTTCCGTGAATCACCACCCCGTCCAAGGGTACTGCCCACAGTCTGCCACACTTTACACCACGAGTGACTCAGCACAGCTGACCGGGAACCAGGGACCCTGGCTTAGAACTGTCCCCCAGGAAACAAAACCAAGGAGCAAGCTGGGTCGTCCCAAGACACCTGCTGGAAAGCCTTAGACACATGACTAGAATCCACACACGGGCCAAGTCAGTGCTAGGTCAGTGCTAAGTCAGCTGTGGTCCAGATGCAGATCCGAGACTGTGAAGAATGAAAATCACAGTTTGCTGGGTGTGTTGCTGCATGCTGGAACCGCACCTACCACAGGGCAGGGGCGAAACAAGAAGTAGGAGAGAGACGCGGCGTCTGAGGCAACTTGGAGCCCCTGCCTGAAGAGAAATACAGCTCAGTGGTGGAGGGCCTCCTCAAATGCAGAAAGCCCTGGCTTCTGAGCAGTGAGAACAGAAGTATGGACGCCACGCACCCCACCTGAGGTGTGCGTGACTGGACAGGGCCTGACTATGCAGTCCGAGCTTGTCCCCCAAGCCGCTGCAGCGTGGGCTACAGGCCTGTGGCACCAACCCTCCCTCTGGACTTACTGAAAGTCCTATGCTTAGGCCACACGGAGGGAAATTATCCAAATGGGGAAGTGTCAAGATTTCAACTAGCCCCAGCAGCTCTAGCAGAGAACTGCAAACTCCAGCCTTCTGGCACACAGGTGGGTACTCAAGTTTAAAAAGGCCGAAGCTAGAGGGGCAGGGCGGAGCTGACAGTAAGCACAATTTAAACACAAGAAGCCTCCTCTTGTTCCCCAGAACTCTCTACCAGCTGCCAAGCTAGTCTCATAACAGAATTCAAAGGAAAATTCCAGAGGCCAGTGAGAGTTAATTTGGGCAAGGCCAAAGGAAAAAAAACTGATTAGGGACTTCAGCAGGGTCTGAGACGAATGTTACAACAATGTGGTCAGATGGCGTTTACCACAACAAAGGCTGAGACAAAGACAACAAGGCGACTGGCTGTCAAACGGTGCCAGTTAACTAGTCCCAGATCAGCAGAAAAGTTCCTTGACTGTGCTCAAACCTGCACTGGCCCAGAGCACTCGTCCACCGCAAACCCATGGCCCTCAGCAGACTGTCACATCAGAAACCCAGTCAAAGGCCAGTCAAAATGACCTGTTTCTATGCTCTGTCACGGATTTCAAGGACAAGTGTTTTTCTGCTCCTTTGACAGGAGGGGAAAGGAGTGGGGTCAGGAGCTCCTTGGATCCCAGGAAGTCAATACTTCAGGTCAGTAAGTTGAGCCCACTACACCCGGAGGAAGTCACTTAACCATTTCCAATAGAACACAAGCCAGTTGGGGATTCCTGGCCATTCTCAGGCTGGCGTCTCACCAAACCATCTTCCCCACAGCTGTGGCCCTAGCCAGAGAGGCCCTCGTGCACCTAAGAGCACTCACTCACTGGCTCCCAAGCCCTGTGTGTCCTGAGTGTGACGGTGGCCCTAGAGCAGGCCTTGTCTCAGGCCCTCCACAAACTAGAGCAGGCCTTGTCTCAGGCCCTCCACAAACGCACAAACCAGGAGGCTACACGATTATGTCTGAGATCACACAAGGATTAGCTAAGCTTTCCGCTCCGGGCACAGACTCTCCATAAAAGATAATTAACTCCACAATTAAGGCCAGTCTCTGGCGTTCCACTCGCCCACTCCCACCTCTGCTGCACCTCACCCAACAGCACTGAAGGGTGAGGCCTTTCTCACCTGAAATCTCTGTTGCCTCTGCACACATACTTGCGCCCTGAGCCTCTTCAGGGAACCCACCTGGTCTCTTTCTTGACCTGGTCTCTGCACCTGCCTCTGAGCGCCATTCTAACCTCATGGACACCCCCCCCCCCCCCCCCCCCCACCCCGCTTCCGGTGGCCCCCATCTCTCCACACTCCTGCCTCTCTGCCTGGCAGCCTCTGGAGCTAATCTTACTTCAAGTGCCTCTCTCCAGGGCCTCTTGCAACAGTTTAACTCTGAAACCTGCCTCCACAGCAAACCATTGGTAGGGCTCCTTGGCTCAGCTATCTCTGCAGTCTGTAGTTTTCAAGTGCTGCTTGGGAAAAAGGCTCTAGATACCTTGTTCTGCCTCCACTGGTCCCTTTCTTCCTTACTACCTGCCAAGGCTCTTTCCTGATCCCCACCTCCCTTGTGGGGCCTGCTGATGCATCTAAGCACGTCCCTCCAAAGCACCTGTCAACCTAGTCTCCTTCGGATATGGCACATCTCCCACCCTCACTTTCCAGGTACTTGCTAAGTGTGTTCCGACTGTCACAATCCCCACTCCGAACAGATCTGTGACTCTGGTCCTGGGATTACAGGTGAGCAGGTAAGTGTCTCATCTGAGGACCGTGTCATGGCAGAGCCAGACTGCATCTACCTGTGGCCAGGGTACATGGGAGGCCGCGGCCCTCCTTCCACTGCACCAAGGGATTACAGGCCTAGAGAGCTAGGCTGGGCCATCCCATGGAGGACCAAACTGGTGCCTCAGAGCCAGGATTTACAACCTCAAAACCACCACACACTGTAGGCAGCCAGGGCTTGGCTGAGAGGATGGATGTGTCATGGAGTCTCGCAGGACCTTCCCGGCAGCACACGCCTATGTCACCATGCTCTGGCCAGCAGAACTCTCGTGGGTGCCATACACTTCCCTTTCGGACAAAGAACCTGACTTCCAAGCTTAAAGCTGCCTTCACTGTGATACAAGAACCCTGATTTAAGGAGGGTGTGGTGACACACTGCCCCGCGCTCGGGAGCCTGAGATTGCTGCTATTGCAGGCCAACCCAGGCTACACAGCAAGACTCTGTCCTAAAACCAACCCAACCCGATGGAAACCGAACAAAAAATACACCCTGGCTTTAAATTCAGAAACATTCTCTTAGGGAAGGAAGTATCTTGTGAATATTAAAACGGAACTCATCACTGTCTGAGGTCTACCATCACCAAAAAGTAATCACAGCTCTGTTCTAGAAGGGGACAGTAGCAAGGCCTGTACACACGTGACATACTGAGGCCACTGAACACAGTGGAAAGTACAAGTCATGCGTGTATTTTACCACCAAGGTAACACAAGAAGAAAACCTGGTCTCAGATGTCCTTCACCGCATAAAATGAAGGCCCAGTGTCAGGACAGGAGAGCTTCAGTTCTCTGTCACCATTCTGGGGTTAAACAGATGAAGGGTCATGACTCTGAGTGTCACACCACACACCCACGTCTCAAACAGCATCTCCTGCTGACTTAGTACCGGGCCTACCCACAGTCTGTGCGCTGCTGCTGTAGCAGACTACCTGAGACTAAGTGATTGATAGTAAGCAGAAATGTAGCCAGCTCACAGATCTGGAGGCTGGAAGACCCAGGCAGAGGGCCTGCATCTAGTGGTCTTGCTGCTTTACTCCAAGGAGGCTGCAGAGGGTAGCAGATCTGAGGACAGAACCCACTCAGGACAACTTCCTCACATCCACAAGGCATATTGACTGATCTGTCCAGAAAGGACACTCATGATGTGTTGGGGTGGGAGAGGGTGTGTTCAGCACAAGACCTTTGTTGGTACATTCACGAAAACAGCCAGGTGCGGCACTTCTCTCACGCACCGCTCTTCCGGTGATATTCTTAACCGACAGGACAGCATTACTTAAGCATTATATGTCCGTCCATTTCTAAAATATTTTTAAAGAGTGCAGATTTTGCTTTAATTGCGCACCAACATACACCTATCACAAACATCCAGACTTTGCAGGTATACCAAATTAAAATTGAAAGGCCTTCTTAGAGCGGCACCCCTACCCATCTCCCTCTAATTTATCACACCCAGGTCTTCCTAGTTTTCTAACTTCCCCCAAACGTAAACATACAATTGTTCC